CAAAATCGTATGCCCACGTTTAAACACGGTGATGGTTTGGGGATGTTTCAGTGCTTCGGGAGTAGGAAATTTGCACTTTATTGATTGAATAATGAATGCTAAGAAGTATATAGATATACTAAAGCGAAATCTACACCAAAGTGCGAAAAAATTGCGTTTAAGGGGTCATTTAATGTTCCAGCATGATAATGACCCCAAACATACGGCTTTAGATACGGCTTTGGATTTTGTATCACTGCCCTAAGTACCTGAAAACGCCACCTCAGAGCCCTGATATAAACCCAATTGAGAACTTGTGGTCTGTCTTGAAAAATTCATTAAAAAGTTATACCATCAGAAACATTCAATACCTGAAAAGAGCATTACGTACAGAGTGGGAGAATATGAGACCAAAACTGACAAAAAAATTGGTGAAATCGATGTCGCGCCGCTTTCATGCTGTTTTAAAACAAAGAGGACATCCAACAAAATATTAATTGAATTGAATGAATTTTGCATTGTATAACATTTTTAATTTGTTAAAAAATATTAAATTTGCTCAGAATATTAAATTTGTTAAATAAATTAAAATATATATACGTTTATACCTGAAATGACATATAAGTTTATTCATCTCATTTGATAATGTGTTTGTTATAAGCAAAATTGGTATAAAATAGAGCTCTCGATTTTGTTCGCACATTTTCAAACAGCCCGCATGAGCTCGAGCAATTCGAGTTTTTTCGAGTAATTTGAGCAATGTTTTTTTTATTATATTGACATTTTTGGTAGCAACTTTTAAAATTTTTCAAATTATTGATATATAATGCAAAGATTGTTACATTGGTTACATTTAATAATATAATTTATTTACCATGAATTAGAAAGCAGCTGCTGACAAATACAATTTACAAATTTTCTTTTGTTTATAAAATTGTTCAAAAACTCGAAAATTTTGAACAAACATTTGAGCAGTTGAGCAATGAACGAGTTTCGAGCGAGTATCGAGCTACTCGCATTGCTCGATACCCGGGTATCTAGAGCTCTAGTATAAAACATGTGGTGTACGAATATGGATTTTGCATACTGTATATTGCCTAATGTCGTTGATTGCCCCGCTTGAAGGAGATCACGAATGTATCTGCTGATGGCAAAAAACTCTTAGAAGAGCATGCCAAAATAGTATTTTGTACTGGTGTCTTGTGTTGGTTTTTATTAAGTAATTCGCCTGCAATTATCGAACAGTATTCTTTTTGTAGTAAGATTACAGCTACATCTGCGTCGGATTGCGGTTTGAACCCCCTTTTATAAAAAAGAGTTTCCCGAATTTACGAACGTTTACACATATGTGCGTTTTTACGCACATAAAATAAAAGAGAAAGCAAGTTTGTTGAAGAGTTACCAATGAGTAAAAAAAAATTGGCTTCTTATTTATGAAATGTACCGAACATTTCTTCTTCGTAGCAATCGATAGTTTTAACGATTTTTTTTTGAGCTATCGATAGAATACTAGTGCCGGAGCAATCGTACTATCGATAGACTATCGATGTTTAGCCAACACTAATTTGGCTACAGCATCTGTTGAGATAACAAGAAAAAAAAACATACTTGAGTTAGTTCTCAAACTTTTTGTTTTGTTTGTGGCTTCAAAACTATACATCATCCGCTCACTTACACTGCGATGCATCTTTTCCTTCAACACTTCCAGGTGGGCAAAGCAAAGAAATGGGTTGGCTTTCCAAAACGGAACCAATCGAGATTTCAGCGAAAGTATATGGAATTTAGTCATGAAACTTGGTCAGGAATTTGGGGGAGGCTTTCTCTACATGAATGTATCACTCTCACAAAGTAGTTCTTCTTCTTCTTCTTTTTTGGCGCTGTAACCGCCTAAGCGATTTTGGCCGAGTTCAGCAAAGTACGCCAGTCGTTTCTCCTCTGTGCCAACTGACGCCAATTGGAAACGCCAAGTGAAGCCAAGTCCTTCTCCACCTGATCTTTCCATCGCAGTGGGGGCCTCCCTCTTCCTACAAAGTAGTTGCTAATAGTATTTAAGCAGATTGTTGTTAAATAATCTTCACTACCACCCCCAACTTTTTGTACAAAATGCCACTTATCAATTGTATTTTGGTTGATATACAATATCTTCAATGTTCACGTGCGTATTTGATACTTTTCATATATATATATTCATCAATTAATTAACTAAAACGCGTTTATAAATCCGTTCACTCGGTTTTGCACTTTTCACAAACAAACAGAAATAACAATGGCCGACAGTAACAGCAAATGTGTGCTGCCATACTTCTCGAAGCTATAAAATACAACTATAAACCATATCATTTTCGATTTTGATCCAAGGGCTTTTTTATTATAAAATCGATACTTCGATAAATCATGAAAATTTTTAATAAAAAATCGAGCGATTTTTTATTACAAATTTTAGCCTGCGGCGCTTTTTATTATAAAATCGATACTTCGATAAATCATGAAAATTTTTAATAAAAAATCGAGCGATTTTTTATTACAAATTTTAGCCTGCGGCGCTTTTTATTATAAAATCGATACTTCGATAAATCATGAAAATTTTTAATAAAAAATCGAGCGATTTTTTATTACAAATTTTAGCCTGCGGCGCTTTTTATTATAAAATCGATACTTCGATAAATAATGAAAATTTTTAATAAAAAATCGCGCGATTTTGTATGAAAATTTTTGACCGCGGCGCTTTTTATTATAAAATCGATCCTGCGATAAATTATGAAAATTTTTAATTAAAAATTTTCGCCTGCGGCGTATGTGCATTTTTTCATTGTTTCCGTTTTGTTTTTTTTTTGCATTTTTTAGTATGTATGGCAGCACCGGTATTTCAGTTCAATTGGTGTACAAGGGAAAAAGTGAGGTTGAATTCGGTATTTTTTGCAACTTTAAATGCGAATTACTTAAAAACTATAAGCCTCCAGAGGGTGGGGTCTTCAGATTTAGAATCTGAAAAAGCTCCTCTATACTCCCTAATATTTTGTTTTTTCCAAAGCCTGGATCCGTTTTGGAAAATTTTCCCAAAAAAATTATATATTATTTAAAGGTTTTTCTTCGACTGGTAACAAAAAACCGTAAATTTAGTTGAAACGAGAACTTTTGTTAATAAAATTCTCGATTACAAAATGTTCGGTAAGATTCCAAAAAGGCCTGTATTAACATTGACATATGATGTCGGACGTGACATTCGTATGACTTTAGAGTTAAATAAATCATACGAAAACGGAAGGTAATTATAAATGACATTTGGCGTTTTGTACCTTTTATACCGTCGTTTGGTTGACAAAAAAATTTAGTTCGCTTGGAGCACTAATAACACTGTGGAAAACAAAAAAAACTTAGAGTGCGTATATAAAAGGTTTGATAGCTGTTGGCCATACGAACAATGCCTCATACTCAGATTTACTAGATTAATTCGTGTTCTCGAGAAAACAAGTTTTCAGGATCCAAATATCTCAGGGGCCAATTTTTTTTCAAATTTTGAAAAGTCACCGCTTTTTGCTCTATATTTGCCTTGTATGCTATTTTCAACAAATATAAGCAAAAAAAAACGATACATTTTCAAAATTTGGAGAAAAAAATTGGCCGCTTTACTGAGATTTTTGGATTCTGAAAACTTGTTTTCTCGAGAACACGAATTGATCTAGTAAATCTGAGTATGAGGCATTGCTCGTATGGCCAACATCTTTTAAACCTGATATATGGGCGCTCTAGGCTTTTATTCTGTGTTCCACAGTGTAATAATAATAATAGATTGGCGCTTACACATATGTTAGTGTTTGGCCCAGCTTCTCCTCCAATTTGTGGCGTGCACTTTGATGTTGCCAAACAAAGGCGAGGGACCTACAGTTTTACGCCCACTCCGAACGACATTGTATTTTTATGATAATTTGTTTTTCATGGCAGAAATAGACTCGGAGGTTTGCCATTGCCTGCCGAGGGCCGACCGCTGTTGAGCAAAAACCTTTGTTCTATAATTTTTTGCGATGTTGATTTGACCAGGGCTTGAACCCAGGCACTGCGGAGTGGAAGTGCGCACTACTTACCGCTACACCATAGCGGCCGCGCTTGGAGCACTGGGGGTCTACTTTCTATTTCGATTCCAAAAACAAATTATTCGGCTTCAAGTACTTGACGCATTCAGTTTCGAATCGCAATACAGAGCAGACCCCCTTGTGTCGAGAAAATCGATGAAAAGGAGGCCATAACGCACGTGACAAAAACAGAAGTGGTTTCAGAGTGGCTGGCTTCCAAAACGTATCAATAAAATATTTGGAAACTGTTATACTGCGGTATTCAAAACTGTTTGTATATGCAGGGTTGCGACACATTGCAACCATATACATTGCATATTTTAAATACTCTATATACCAATGAACAATTTTTATGAATTTTCCATTTTTAAAACACCAATGGTAACCAATAACAAACGAAGCATCAACTTTGTTTCTGATGCGCTGATTGCGCTAGCGATGCATTTCGATAAATTTTCGGATGCGTTTTGGAAGAGTATACATCGTCAACATTTTGTAGTTCGGCGTTATTGAACGTTATACTTTGTACGTATGCAAAGCAATTGACGTTTTGGAAGTCAGCCAGTATGTACATGTAAAAATAAGCAAACCTCTGCGAATACTGTGAGATTTTCCTAATCAAGACTTGGGGCTTGGATAAAACTGTCTCGATACCCACTCGTTAAAGAGTCGATATTTCGCTTTACAATACAACGCAAAATCGTCTATTGTTTGAGAGGACCCACTTCGTGTATGTATATCACCGGGTGTGTGTGTTGCTTCACATGAAATTCGTACCCTACCTAAAATACAATAGTTTGGAAATCAGAAGGCTAAAAGTTATTTCATTATATTTTAAATTTAGCCACTATAATATGTAGTATTACATCTACCTTAGAGAATGTGTTTTTCAATGGCTCGGGATATGAACTGTAAAGAGTTTTCCAAGCCCAAGTGAGTGTGAACCTGTAATAGATGTATATGTATGGATGTGTATTTTATAATTAATCCTACATATGCAAAGGGTAAGTGTATAAATATATACATATGTAAGAGTACCAAATGCAGTTTCCGGAGCTAAACGGGTTTACTGGGTATGTTGTCAACTACAATTTAATGTTACAGTCGATAGCATTCTGCATTCTGAACTCTTAGAAAAACTAAAAGAATGAACTTAATGCTTAATAAACATTTTCTGTGATTCTTTTTAACTAAAGGAACTTTAGCATACTCTTTCAAAGCGTGGGTAAAATAACATACACGTAAATACTTAAAGTTAAATAATTTCTCTAAGCTTTTGTGCTTTGTTTGCTATTACACTCGTGGACAACAAATTATTAACTTAGTAATAATCTAAATAATTATTTCAACTGTTATATGTATATAGTATAATTTATGTATAGCACTTACCACATTATAACGTAAACGAATTTAGAACAAGTACATAGTACATAAATACTTGTACATACTATAAATACTTACAACATTATGTAATTGAGCTGTACTACATACAATACTCGAATGTATATAGATTTGTATGGACCTACATATGTACATATGTATTAGCATGGCCGAAAGTCCGCTTTGTGAAAGATGAACATTTTTGTTCAATATCTTAGGCTCGCCCAAGCCCATCAAAGTTCAAGTGGTAAAAAAAATGTTTCTTTGCTTATTTCGATTCTCCACAAAAAAAGGTCCATATATATATGTAGGACTAATACTTTCGAAGATAATTGCTATTTTAGTAAAAAAAAAATGTGTTAATTTATGTATTAATTTTTATTTCTTAAGCACATTGAACTTTGATGGACTTGGGCGAGCCTAAGATATTGACCAAAAATTTTCATCTTTCACACAGATTTCTTTAGAGCATAATGAACCATATTTTTGCTATTACCAATCAAAATTCGAAAAAAGCGGATTTTCGGCCCGTGCTAGTATGTATGTATGTACTTATATCGTGTCAGTATCACGATTCAAATGAATTTAAACATACATACTTAAATCAGGAAAATAACTAGTTAACATCCGGGTTAAGAATTTGATCTAAACTAGCATAGGTGCCGAAGAAAAATCCGCACAAACCAAACAACAGAATCGCAATATCTTTCCATAGTATCCAATTGTACTTGCCCAATCCCACTGGATAGAATGTGATTATATCAATAATTGGTGGAGCAATGAGCGCCAATGCAGAACTGCTAACAGCACCCACCAATGAGATTATGGGACCCAAATTAGGTATGCAGACAGCCAGGAGAACTAGAAATTGGAAAGACATACTTCATTAGCCAAAAAATATTGGTGTCATTTGTAATGTAATTAGTAGTGAAAAAATAATAATAATAATGGCCGGTCGAGCTTCTATGCACAAAATAACGTAAGCGATATTTTTCTCAAAATTTTATTTTTGATGCAGAAATGCATCTAGATGCTCTAGGAATATTTCTGCATCAAAAAGAAAATTTTGAAAAAAATGTCGCTTACGTTATTTTGGCGGTTAGGGCTCGATTTCATAGCAGAGCATTTTTATAAACTACTAAAATATATAGGCTGATAGTCTGGTGGACGTGAAAAAATTACACAATGACACAAAGTTATAAACAATTCAATAAAAACAGCGAAAAACAAGAAAAGCATAAAGTGAATACCAAATACGCATTGACATTAAAGGGTGCTTTCAAAGTTCTGAGTGAAAATGAAGCTTACCCCCCAATTCATACAGACAAATTTTGGCGCAAATACATATAAAAAATGCCTTGAAAATTTCATTCCAAAACAAAAGTTTTACCACTTTAACTGCTTTATAAATCGAAAATTTGTATGAAAATGTCACTTTACAGAGCTCTATAAATCTATTTTATTTTTTATGAGTAGGGGACATGCGCAATAAACAGGTGAAGTAATAAAACAGCTTTCTCGCTTTATTTTCTGACATTCGGCTGCCTTATAGGCAAATTTTCAAATAAGGCAGTGTCAAAATCTTTCTTCTCACTCTAATTACTTCACCTGATATAATTCTACCATGAGTAAGGGCATTATATTTTATTGACTTGTTTTCATTCAAATAGAAGAATATTAACCAGGAAATATTACTATTATTTTCTTGTAGCACAGGCGTATAAAAAATTAATAAATGTGAAGTAAATACATATCATAACTAGCATTGTCAAATACAGTATATTTTGCTTAGCTGCCCATCCTTCATTGCACGGAAGACAAAGCACTTAAGCGAATTTTCTTTACTACTTCAATGAGGAAGGTCCCGAACCCCTATAAAACCAAATATTGGAGGAGCACTTACCATGTAGAAATTACTGCAAGCGAAATTTTTTCCGAATGGTATCTAATCATCTATATATTTCGTTGTTCTGCGAAATGAGCAAAATAAATAAAAGCTTGTAAAATAAGGGTAAGTGTAGAGCCAGTGCAGGTAAACGTAATACTTTCTTTGATAATTGATAATACATATTTGCAAATTTATTTTTAAGGCAGGTATCGCTAATGTGCAGGTATGTTGAATGTATCTACCGGAGCAGTTTCCTTACACTGAGAAAACAACGCGGTGTAGAAATGAAAATTTTTTATTTCATTACCGTTTAAAAATGTTCGTATTTAAATCAAGTGAAAAGTAATAAAAAAATCGATGTTTCTATTATACATACACTGCGTTAATGGAAATATTCAATTCAAATACGCCCGTATTAAAATGAAGCATTTTTCACTGCACGGATGACGTTTTGAACGTCTCGGATGCTTTTTCATATGTAATTAAGAAAGTATGGCTGAGTTCCCAGTTGCATTAATGCAAAGCCTCAGCCTCTTTTATAGCCCAGTAAAATTAGATAAATTTGGTAGGAAAATTAAAAAAATTTGTAACAGCGATTTTTTGATGCAGTTTACTTCTATTTAACACGTAGATCATGGATCCACAGTCTTGCCCCTAAATTTCATTTGGCAACATTCCGCCATCTTGGATTTAATTTTTTTGGGTTTCTTCATATTTGCAAGCTTATTTTGCATTTTTCGTAAAAAATGGTCATATACAAATATGTAGAGAATTTAATTTCCCACATTTGTTATATAGAAGGTTTTTTCAAAATAGCATTTTTTATTGTAAAACATTAGCAAAAACTGCAAAAAAAATTTACATTGCCACGGTTTTGGCCATTTTTTGACAATTTATGTTGAAAATACATAGCATATTGAAATTCAAAAGTTGTAGAGAATTTCATTCTTCACAACTTGTGTACCTACATTTGTTTTGTATGACGCTTAGATCACGGCCGGGAACGTGCGAAACATAGCGATTAACTCAGAAAAATAGCTAAATTTGGTAGGAAAATTTAAAAAAAAAAATTGTAACAGCGATTTTTTTATGCAGTTTACTTCTATTTACCACGTAGATCATGGATCCACAGTCTCGCCCCTAAATTTCATTTGGCAACATTCCCCCATCTTGGATTTTATTTTTTTTTTGGGTTTTTGCGACTTGCAAGCTAATTTTGCATTTTTCATAAAAAATGTTACATTTTTCATAAAAAATATTACATTTTTTTTTATTTGAGTGACTGTGGATCCATGATCTACGTGTCAAATATAAGTAAACTGCATCAAAAATTTGCTGTTACAAATTTTTTTTAAGAAAAAGTCTAATTTTACTGGGCTATTATTTCTAAACTATAATTGTTGGAAATGTCCAATTTGCGCAACAAAGCTCCAATTCGTCATTTGAACGTGGTTGCGCATATTGGACTTTTCCATGAGCTATGGTTCAGAAATAAAGGAGACTGATGCTTTGCATTAATGCAACCTGGAACTCAGCCTATGTATATGTAGACAAAGCAACAACACATACACACATGCACGACATACATAATGCACTAATCGCGCGCTGTGATGTTGATTCAAAATCAACATTTGAGAACACATTTACATGTATGGCTGTAGCTGAGTGTGCAAAGACGCTTGATACAATTAGTTGCTGCCAAGAGAGCCCGGGTTCAATTACCATCAGACGGAACATAAAATTACATTTTTTTTTCATTCTATAAAAGTATTCAATAGTATAAAAGTATTTTGCATTAACTTTGAAATGTTCCGCCGGGACAAGATCTTTCCCGTATTTTCGACGATTCCATTATTCTTTTCAACCTGTAAACTATTTTGAGTAGGTCATTAGCAAGCATTATTGCATGCAAGAAATATAGCTAAAAATTACCGTAAATTTTTTAGATTTTTTTTTTGTGGAGGGTGTTACGAATTTTCTTCCATACAATGCATGAACAAAACTGACTATTATATGGAAGAAAATGTGCAACACCCTCCACAAAAAAAAATCTAAAAAATCAATTGTAATTTTTAGCGCTTGCTCTTTATTGTATTGAAATTGAATGGGCTATAAAACCGCATACTCGAAATCTTTCTAGGAAATCTAATTAAAAATATCGAAATTTGTATGCAATTAATAAAAAATTAACAAAAAATATTTGCCGTGAAAATTATTGGAAATATTAAAAAAAAAACAATCACTGTACAATAAAATTTTTAAGTTAATAATATATTACCATTTACATAAGTATAATCTAAAAAATAAAAATTTTGTGTTGAGTATGCAGAAATTACCGCTACCTTTTCTTCTATGTTAAGTAAAAATTTCATAGCTGTGTCGATTACCAGTATCTCACTAGAACAAACATTGCATTAATTTTTACTATGGGTATGTATGTAAATTAAAAACTTTAAAACCGTCTTTCTCGAGTTTTTCTTTTTGGCATTATGACACTATTGAAGGAAATGAGCGATATGTATTTATTTATAAATTAAAAAAGTCTTTTGTGAAATGAAATTTGTGTTTGTATAAATATGTCTAACGCTTTATTATATTTCGTATATTTGGAAATGAAGTTGTTATATAAAATTAAGAAAAAATATTGTTTTAATTAATTTGCGTTGCACAGCAGTAATTAATAAGTGTAAGTGAAAATTTAATTTAATTTGATATCGATGTTTTTTTGGCTTTTTGCAGTGTTTTTTGTAATTCGGGGTTTTTCGGTAAACCGAAAAGATCAGCGTTTTAATAGTTTTTCTTATACAGTTTAAAACCGAAATAAAAAACCGTGATTAATCAAAAACCCAATTTTTTGGAAATCCCTAATGAGAAGTGAGAATTTGTGCATTTACTTCTCAACAGAGCGCAACTAGCATACCAAAAGTTTCAACTGTCACTCTCTGCAGCCGTTTTGCACTAGTTCAGAGATAGTTTTGAAATGTATAGGGCGGAGCTAGCGCTTTAACAGACTGTCTCTAAATTTTACTGCAGGGTTGTTTTCCACTAATGCACACACATGTGTAAGAGCAATGAATGCAATTTAAATGTGTTTCTGGCGTGTGTATAAGCAGAGCATGTGTGTGCAAATTCTAAACGAAAATTTATTTGGAACTTTTCTCAATGATGGTCATTTGTAATATTTTTTTTTGATGTTTGAATCTGATACTGCTTCTAATATTTTCTGGTATGGTAATATGGGGTGTCTTCTTGACATTTTGAATAAATGTTTATACTTTTATTCGATTGCTGAAAATTTTTAATAAAATTGAAATTCGAGTGGAATTATTTATTTAATTACAAATATTGATTATCAGAGTTTTAAGTCATACTCGCGCTTTGTGGGAATACAAATTCAAACGCACAGTGGATATTATATTTAGTTCAAATAGCCAAGTAGCCCTTCGGTTGCATCTTTACTGTTTACATAAATTTGTATGAGTATGATTTGTGAAAGTTGCAAATTTAATGCAGTTATGCTTGGAAGCTTCTTAGTAAGTACGCAGTTTTTAAAGTACTACATGCATAAAAAGTAAGCTTAGACCAGGTTCTAACACGCAATTCTTCGTCATGTGTTACGTGTATAAATACAATCAGTTTTGTTGGCCATCAGAACGACTGTTTTAAGATGGAATGTCAGCTCCTAGCCTCTAGATTCGTCTCAGTTTACAGAGTAAACTGTTGAGCTTAATCCTATTTCAACGTTTCAATGTTTGTATGCAGAGTTGCGCAACATTGCAACCATATACATTGCATATTTTAAATATTCAATATAGCAATGAACATTTTTTCTGAATTTTCCATTTCTAATACACCAATGCTAACCAACAACAAACGAAGCATCAACATTGTTTCTGATGCGCTGATTGCTCTAGCGATGCGATTCGATAACTTTTCGGCTGCGTTTTAGAACAGTATACATTGCCAATATTTT